AACAGCATTCTAGTTGAATTAAGAATGGAGGAGAGAAACCTTGTCGTGCAATCTCGGTCAGAAAGCGCGTCACAGACACACACACATCAGAGCGAGGAAGGTGAAGATGAGGAGATACAAATAGCCGTTGGAGATACACAAATAGCTGTTGGAGATACACATATATGTAGCCGTTGGACACACCTGAGATAGTCGCTCCTCCTTCTTGAGAGCCGTTGTAGCGGACGCGAGGGCTGCCTTGGCCTCCTTCACGCGACGCTCTAGGTTCTCGAGAAGCTTCTCCCTGGCCTGTCGGAAGGATGCCTCCTCCGCCTTCAGCTCGGCGTTTCTGTCCACACAAAAAGGGTACACAACATAACGCACATCACGTGTGAGATGTGAATGACTAGATTCCGCGCGGAAAAAGGTACACGTCGAGAAGCTTCTCCCTGGCCTGGCGGAAGGACGCCTCCTCCGCCTTCGGCTGGGCGTTTCTGCACACACAAACAAACTACCAACATGACACACATCCCGTTGTTGGTATCTTATGTGCCCCCTACGGTATCTATCGCCAACAGACCAACTATGACTCGCCTCGACTCCCTCTACAGCACGCACATGACACATGAATCAATGACACCCGCACCTCCACCAGAAAAAAAAAAAAACATGAACCAACTATGGTATATACCATGTCACAATACGCTTTGGTTGCCGAAAACCGCATGCCGACAACCGCCACCATCACAACCAAGACGACGAAGAAAAACACAAAAGAACCCGCAAAAATACACAAAAAGTCGATCCGATGGCAAATGCTTTGCTCCCGAACATGGCACGCCGACAACCGTCACCAGACAACCACAACGACACCAAAACTAAACAGCACGCAAAGCCCCCAAGCAAACAAGACGCAAGCCGACCCGGTGGCAAATTTGTTCACGAATACCGCATGCCGACAACCATCACCACCAACAGAAATCCGCGACAGACCCGCGGAAGAAGACGGAAGTCGACCAGACTTGCCTCTGGACAGCCGCGGCCCCGGCAGTCTTGGCGTCCTCCACCGCCTTGGTCTCTTCGTCCAGAGCTTTGCGAGTCTCCTCCAGCTGCGTCTCGAGCTGGCTGTGGGAGGACTGGCCCAGGCGGTCGGCGAGGAGACTCAGCTCCTGCTTGCGGATCTCGACCTCGTTGCTCAGCTCGGCGAACTGCGACAGGACGACACGCATAGCACACATGTTAAAGATCTGTTTTCAACCGCTACATGTTAAAGATCTGAGTCGGGCGGTTAGCGCGGATGCCAAAAGTCAAACACACGCACATGGCGGGTCATCTCAAACCATGGCCTTCAGAAGCATGTTCCGTTTTGAGCGGCACTGCTGTAATTGACGTATTTTCGAGCTGATCAATGAAAGTAGTATGTTCACCGGGCAGGTCGGCGAACTGCATCAGCGGGTCCGATATCATGGTCTTTTTTAATAGAAGCATGTTCTGTTCCCAGCCGTACTGAGACTGACGTCTTGGTTCATTGCTCAGCTCGGCAAACAGAGGAAACACACACAAAACATGCGCACACAATGCGTCGCTGTCATCGTTACTGCGTAACCATATTTTGCGTTCGAATGACCCGCATTTCACTTATCATACGTGCAAGCACGACCATTCCGCGGAACGTTCCGCGGAACGTTCCGCTAAACCGTACCTTCTTAGAGGCGGCCGAGAGCCTTCCGATCTTATCCGACACGACGCGCAGCCTTTCCTGGTGAACACCCAGCTCGCGGGACGCCGACTGCAGCTCCGCCAGCCGCCCGAGGATAACGCCGAGCTGGGACTTGGAACCTCCCGTCAGGGTCCCCTGTGGCTCGAAGGAGTCTCCCTCCAGGGTAACGGTCTTCGCGCGGACCCCCCTGTCGAACGCCACCTGATCGTTTTTGGCGGAGCGTTGGGGGGGTATCGGGGGCTCGAATCAGGAGGTATCGAGCGAAGGTTTCAATAATGGTGAAGTCAAGATAAAGACTATGTACCACGGCGACAGTGCAAGTACAGCAGCACTTGCTAGCTCCACCAACAGCAACAACTACAGCAGTGAAACAACAGCGAAAAAAACACAACCACAGAGGTGCTGTCAACAACTACAGCTACAGCAGTACTCCCGTGGAACACACATCTCCGGGAACCAAGGCATTGTTTCGGAGATCGCTTTTGGAGATCGCTTTTGGAGATCACTTTCGGAGATCACTTTCGGAGACCGCTTTCGGAGATCACCAACCCACGCGTGAAGCACACATATCCGGGAACCAAGGCATTGTTTCGAAGATCGCTTTCGGAGATCACCAACACACATGTATGTCTACACACCTCCTTGGCAATCTGAAGAGAGTCGCACACGATGCTGGACCCGAACACGTAGGACATAGCGCCGCGGAGCTCGTCATCGTATCCCACCTAAACAAAAAAAAAAACACCAGGTTTACCACGGGATGAACGCCGCGGACAGATAAGCGTGACGAAAAGAACAGTTTGGGGTACACGGTAGGCTCCCGAAGGTGCACAAGATCAGACACCAGGAGCCCAGAGAGCGGGGAAAAAACTGGGAGCTAGCATGCGCATCCCATTCGACCACACACTCCGCATTCCGGGCTATATTTCAGGGATGCACAAATACAAAGAAAAAAATGCATGAAAAAAAAAGTGAGCTTTTTTGCTCGGCGATCGAGAGAAGAACGCCGCAACAGGGGGGGGGGGTGTACTCATAGTCGTGCATGCCGTAGTCGTTTGACCATTGACCTCGCATCCCTACAAAGCCGGGACGGAGCATGCCGGGTTCTCACCGGACCAGGCTCTCACATCACCAAGCGCGAAGCGCCGTGAGGTAATCGGCGAGTCGCATGAAGGGTGAGCTGCATCCTGCTAAGGGTGTTCGGCATCTTGTGCTTACTTCCTTGCGTACGGATGACAGCTACGCATGACTTAATTTATTTTCTGGTGCTTTCACTTCCAGAGACAGTTGTAAGCACTGTGTAACTGCCTCGAGGAAGCTTGACCATTTTAACACAACGTGGTACGATCATCCCCCGTTGCGCGGAGTGAGGTTTCTCGACCCCGCACAACATGATCTACTCGACCACCATTATGGTTACCGCCAAAAAAAAAAAACGAGGTAAAAAAAAAAAAAACGGTAACCTGGTTGCCGAGTTCACGAAGTGAATTGGCTTGTTTTACAACGTCGTTGCCAAGCGACGAAAACCCAACCCCGATGGCAAACACCGAGGGGGGAAGGGGGGGTATAACACAGATAGCAGTGACAATCACCACCGAAACCAACACCAGCGGCTGTGACAAAGCCAGCGAAAATGTACGTGATCGTCAACAAGACGAGCACCACCACCACCACCAACGACAACCGCGATATAGGCAGCAGCAGCAACAACGCAAAAAAAAATTCACCCAATAGCAGACGCACCACCAGTCACAATAGCAACATCGTCCACAACAACAACAACAACAACACATAGAATCCGAGATAAAACCATTAGACTAGACAGCGCTGGCTAGTCTAATGGTTTTATATCAGCTTCAATAAGCCACAACAATTTCAACAGCCACAAAAACAGCCACAACAACAACAACAGCAACAGCAGCAGCAACTACAACAGTAGCCCCGCGCTCACCAGCTCAATGGCGCACGAGGCAGTGCCGTTCATCCTCTGAGCGATGGACGCGGCGCGGTTGAGCTGGTTTGGCCGGAGGGAGTTGGGGGTGATCTTGTTCAGGGGGATGATTGTCACCCTCCTGATCAACGCAGAAAACACCACGCAAGAGAGACCAAGGGGGGGCGAGGGCGGTCAGAGTTGTCGACTGCATGTATTGGGGGCGGTTGTTGGTAACGAGGGGTGATGGGTAGCCTCGCGATATGTGCACGAAACATATCTTACAGCAGCCGGGAGAAGGGGGTGAGATGCTGTTCGCTATTGCGCGGTGATCATGGTAGCGAGGATGCTTGTCACCCTCCTTTGCACTCATCGTAGATCCCAAATATGCATCGGAGATCCCTGATACTCATCGGAGATCCCTTGTATTCATCGGAGATCCCTTACACTCATGGTAGATCCCTTTGCTCTCTCTCGCTCAACTCTTGAGCATCCCCGTGAATCGCTTCGGAGACGCATCGCAACAAACAACAATTCATACGAGCAAGAAACAACCCATCGGAGATCGCTTTTCTCTGTCTCGCCTTCACCTCTCGGGTAAAACCGCCCGCAACAAACAACAACAATCCATCGGACACCCCTGGGTTATCCCTTTAACCTTCTGAGCAACCCAGGAAATCGCTTCCGAGACACATCCCACTAAACAACAACTCATCGGAGCCCCCTCTGCAATCCCGTCTCTCTGCCTCACCTCTTGAGGTTGCCCTGCTCCAGAAGAAGCTTGCCTGTGTCCTGGTTGTCGACCACCACCTGTACAGTGGGGAGGGTAGGGGGGGTTAGCGACCCCCTGTTAGCGACATGCCCTGCATAGCGACCACAGCATCGCGCGGCACCACTGCTCCCCGACCAAATAGCGACCTCTCCCTGAGTAGCGACCGTACTGTCTCCGGAGACCATCACGATCCCAACATCAACGTAGCACATGCATGTACAAAAGCCACAAACATCCACGAAGCGCGTGCCTATACATCAACACCTGAGGGCTGGACTCTACAAGCAAGCAGCATCGGCACCACTTTCCCCGGATTTCACGCGCCATCTGCGCTTCGAAATGGTGTTCGGTAAGGTCTAACGCTACAGCAGCAGTCCACCTTCCGAAGCCGAAATGAAACCATTAGACTGGTCTTGTCCAACCGTTATATTTCGGCTCTGTGGTCGCCTTCCAAAAATCCCTGTAAGGCCACACCAAACCGTTTGATTTCGGTTTCCTAAACCGTCTTCTAAAAGATCCCTCCATACACAAAAGGCCGCAAAAAAAAGGGGGCCCCGCACCTGGTAAAGCCTGCCCCCGGCGGCCACCTCCAGGGCGGTGCTGTGAGCGGGGTCCTTAACCTGCACGAGCTTGGCGACGAGGCCCTTGACCCTCGACCGGTCGAAGTTTCGCTCAGGGTCCCTGTACTCGAAGCTGAGTCTCCCCGCTACCTGGGCGGAAAGCCTGTCCACCACCTGTTGTGTCGTGAAACGAGGGGGGTATGGCCGGGGGGTATGGGTAGGGAGGGGTACACGTCTGTCTACTTGAGAGGGGGGTTGGGGTGAGGTGGATGTTTTCACGGAGGTGAAGAAGTGGCAACAGCAGTGCTTGGACTCATAGGTGTGAGCCCCCCCGCGACAAGCGCGGAGAGACCGTGACAATGGGAGGGGGGGGGGGTGTACTCATAGTCGTACGTGCCGTAGTCGTTAGACCATTGACCTCGCATCCCTACAAAGCCGGGACGGAGCATGCCGGGTTCTCACCGGACCAGGCTCTCACATCACCAAGCGCGAAGCGCCGTGAGGTATTCGGCGAGTCGCATGAAGGGTGAGCTGCATCCTACTAAGGGTGTTCGGCATCTTGTGCTTACTTCCTTGCGTACGGATGACAGCTGCGTATGACTTAATTTACTTTCTGGTGCTTTCACTTCCAATGGGAGGGGGGGGGAATATGGCAATGTGAAAACAGCGGTGTATGAACTCCAACGTGAGCCCCTCGAGCAGAAAATCGACAAGGGGGGGGCGTTCCTCGCCAAAAGAGAGAAAATGTGACAACAACAGCAGTGTTTGTACTCCAAGGTGAGCCCTTCAAAAAGACCTCAAGAGGACAGTCACAACGTCGAGACATACGAGGACAACACAGACTGCTGTTATAGCAACACACGAACACGACAACAACAACGAAACACCTGAAAACGGAGCAACCCTGCCGATAGACCATTGTGAGTGGTAGAGAAACGGCGTCAATGGCACAAGATCGTGATGGCAACGAAAAATATCGATTGTCGGGGTTCACTGTTTTCTGGAATGGGCGGCGTTTCTATACACTAAGAACAACCCATGACGAGAATACGAAACCCACTAAAGCTAGGCTCAGGGGTAGGGTTAGAAGCCTACCCAACCGCTCCTTCAGGGGGCCCACCGCCTTCTCCTTCCCCCCCCTCTCGCCGTCCACGAAACCCACTTACGGCTAGGTTTAGGCATCGGCTAGGCTTAAGACTTTAGGGTGTAGGCTGCTACCCACCCTCCTGCTTGAGGTGGTCCACCGCCTTCCCCTTCGCCCTCTCGCCGTCCACAAAACACACCTATGGCTAGGCTTAGGCATTAGCTCACGGCTAGGCTCAAGACTTTAGGGTGTAGGCTGCTACGTACCGTCCTGCTTGAGGTGGTCCACCTCCTTCCCCTTCTCCCTCTCGCCGTCCACAAAACACACCTATGGCTAGGCTTAGGCATTAGCTCACGGCTAGGCTCAAGACTTTAGGGTGTAGGCTGCTACGTACCGTCCTGCTTGAGGCGGTCCACCTCCTTCTCCTTCTCCCTCTCGCCGTCCACAAAACACACTGATGGCCAGGGCTAGCCTTAGAGCTAAGGCTTCAGGGTTAGGCGACTATCAACCCACCCACCTCCTTCAGGCGGTCCACGGCCTTCTCCTCCTTCTCCCTCTCCCCGTCCAGGCCGTCCTCCTGGCCCTTGTCGTATCCCAGGGCCTCCAGCCCTTGCTCCGCCTTCCCCACCCGTGATTGCGCCGCGTCGCGCTCTCTCCTCAGCGAGGACACCTGCTTCTCGGCCGCCTGGGGGTTGACAAAAACATCCAACCGTTAGTGAGTTGAAACACGACAGAATCAAAATCAGAGGGGGCGAGGGGGGGGGATGCAAGACACATGCTTAGGAAAAAAATGGCTGTAGTACCGCATGCGTTGACTTAGGCTGGCGCAATGTCAAGATACTTTTGCTTGCAGCTGTAACACTAACCGCAAGGTATCCGCACCGCACCGCATCGCATCGCACCGCACGGGTATCGTATCATAACGCACCGCACAGCAGCAGTATTGTCTAGTAACCGCATGGCACCGCACGGAACCAAACCGTACGATAAGGGCCGTTAAAAACACAGGTGTTGTGCTTCCAAATTTCCAAATTTCCAAAACGTTTGTCTCGGACGCGCATTTCAAGGTTCTATGATCTCCGGATTTGGAAATTTGGAAGCGAAATAGCTGCTGCTTAAAACGCCCCTTACGTGCCGTATCGTACCACACCGTACCGTGTTGTATCGTACCGTACCACACCGCCATCGTACCTTCATTTCCTTTTCCGTGGTCTTGGCTGTGGTCTTGAGGTGCTTGATGCGAGCCGTGCCCTGCTTCGCCCTCGCGTCCGCCGCGCTAGCCTCTGCGGTGAGCTCGGCAATCTGGAAGCCAGGAAGTTAGGTACGCATTGAACAGACGACGCCGGAAAAAAACATGCGTTAAAACGTTGACTTTCGTCCTCATCGTCGCTGTGTCTACTGCTGATGTGGCTCTGTATTGCGAGACGTACCACTGCCGTGGCATTCCGACCTCTAGTGAACAGAATCGTGGCATCCCTACCGTATACGACACAAGGTAACACACGCCCTGGACCGATTTTCCATGCTCGATTACTCCACGACGAAGAGGATGCATCATAGACGAAACGATACGTTTTCGGAGAGCTCTCGGCAAGGCGCCTTCAATGCCGCCGGTTTCGGCGCTGCGACTCTTTCTGCTGTTGATGAATCGAGCTTTGAAAGCGGTCCAGGGGGGGGTGTTATCTTGTGTCGTATACGGTAAGGTCTCTGTTCGAGGCCGGTCAACTCGCTTTGGCACTGACGGGATATACATTCAAAGGTTGCTTCACACTCTGAATGGTGCCGGGTGCCCTATTCAACGCCGGAGCTTCACCTTTGGACCATAGCGCCCATTAACAGGGACCTCTACTGCCTGTGCTGGTAAATAGTTTCTGGCCTAGTCCGTCGGCATCCTGGATCCCACATGTTGTCATAACCGTATCCCCCTCTATTTCTACTTCCTACGTTTTCTTCTGTCCACGGGAACTTTTTTCGCCTCATCGGTCAGGGCCCTCGAGTCCACAAAGCCACACCAAACATCCCTACACTCCTTCTGTCGCCTGGAAAAACCTCTTGCCTGGTCGGTGAGGGTCCTGGAGTCCTCCTTCTCCGTGGCGACGCCGGCGCACATGTCCTGGTACTCCTTCTGAAGCGAGCCGTGCTCCCCCTCGGCTTCTTCGACCGCGGCTTCGGCGGCCTCCACCGCCTTGGCTTGCTCTTTGATGGCCGTCTCCTTGGCGACGACCGCGACTCCGGATTCCTCTTCGTTCTGTAGCGGCATGGGGTAGGGGTGTGTGGGGGGGGTGTACTCATAGTCGTGCATGCCGTAGTCGTTTGACCATTGACCTCGCATCCCTACAAAGCCGGGACGGAGCACGCCGGGTTCTCACCGGACCAGGCTCTCACATCACCAAGCGCGAAGCGCCGTGAGGTATTTGGCGAGTCGCATGAAGGGTGAGCTGCATCCTGCTAAGGGTGTTCGGCATCTTGTGCTTACTTCCTTGCGTACGGATGACAGCTACGTATGACTTAATTATTGGGGGGGGGGGCGTTACTTATCATTCTGCGGTGCCCCGCACGATTCTCCGGGGCCTCTCCCCCCCCCCCCCCCCCCCCGGGCCCGGAGGAACCCCACCCCCCCAACCCCCAAAAGGCCGGGGCCCCCCCCCCTCCCGGAATGTACCTAAACCTACCCGGCTCTTTCCCCCCCCCCCTGGGTGGGGAACAATTTACCCCCCAAAATTTATCCGGGGGGGGGGGGGGGGGGGGGGGCCCCGGGGAATTTCGGGGGGCCCCCCCGAAATTTTAAATGCCCCCCCCCCCCCCCTGTTTTTT